AAAGTACGCAACTCCTCATGTTGGATTCCGTAGATATCTCAGGTCATAGGATCCAATCATGGAACCGTCATATGAGATTCAAGTCATGATACTAGTCCATGTGACCATCTCATGCGGGTCAATCCAGTATTCCGTTCTCCAACGAATACCTATGATTGTGATCGTATCCAATACCCATGATCATTTCTATGATCATCTATCACACATCATACTAGTCTTAGTACATCATTGTTCCCAGAATGACATATGACTAGGGAGTTTAATATTGTTCATAACAATACATGGATTTCATAACATATTAAAGTATGCATAATGCGTAATGAATCAAACACTCATCCATATAATCATAGCAAGTGTCAATACATCAAATGTAATCATAATAAAGCTCACAAAACAGTACATCATAGAGCACTAAACCAACAATTGGACCATATCCAGTAATTGGAAAAGTGAGAGCAGTGGCGTATCGAGTGGAATTGCCCATAGAACTCAGCAATATACATGATGTATTCCACGTGTCTATGTTACGAAAATATGTGGCAGATCCATCCCACATTTTACGGCAGTAGGAGATTAACTTTCCCCCCAACGTTTACTTTCGTGATGAGCCGCTGCAAATCGTCGACTACAAGACGAAGCGATTACGGAATAAGGAGATTCCCTTAGTCAATGTCTTGTGGCGGAGCCAAGGAGTCTCTGACATGACTTGGGAACCGGAGAAGGAGATGCGCGATCATTACCCCCATCTATTTGGTACGTAAAATTCCAACTTAATTTAGTTCGAATTCGAGGACGAATTCACTTTAAGTGGGGTAGATTGTAACAACCTAATTTTTCAAAAAACAAATCCGGACCGTCCGGTTTAGAGAGTCCGGACCGGACAGACCAAATTGTCGGCAACAATGAAAGTCGCGACTTTCTCACCAAATCCGACCTGAAAACGACATGTACCCGTCAATCATTGACCAAAATCCGAACTTTTCAACCCTTGGGCCTGAGTTCTATCCGGATTTGTCGAATCCGAGGTGAGTGAATTCGAATTTAATTCGGAAGCCTGTTGACATAGGGTTTGGGTTTTTGAGTGATTTATGCAAAATTGATGTTTGATTCGTATTCAACATGAGATTTTATGAGTTTTAATATATTACTCATAGCGAATCATGCATGTTTGAGTGTTTTTTGTGAAATCCGAGGTCTAGACTGTCCGGTTATCCGGGTGGATCGGGACATAGCGAATCATGCATGTTCGACTCAATATAGTGGAAAAGTGAAAAATATAAAAATAAACAAAAAATACGGGTCAGACCGAACCCCGCGTAGTTTGAACCCAAAATGGATAACAGGTAAGTTTTAAAACCCCGAAATGAACCGAACTGTTATCCGGGTGGATCGGGACCAGATAGGTCAAATCGGAGGAATAACTCGGTAATTTAACCGGGTAGATCGAAAAGAAATATATAAATGATTATAAGAAAAATTAAAAGACTACGCAAGCAGAAATGCATGTATAGTAAATAAACTATATAAATGCATGTGGTTGGGGTAGCTGGCATGACGTTAACATTAATTCGAAAGGGTTCGGATTAATGTTTAGCGCATGATCGTAGAAACAGACGTTTGTGATTGAATGCACGATGTTTGCGAGATTGCGTTTCATCTATGGGACATCCGATCCGGGTCGGATGCCACCCATATGGGATATGATTGTGAATGTGGCGATGACATAATCGCGCAACATCTGAATGATAGGACGGTTATAGGCATCCCGATGACTTGCGTAGATAGCCGATAGTAGTCGTACTATTACGTGATGAGAAAAATACGGTTCTTGGTAATCGCGCAAACGTTTCCGCTAGTGACAGAGCGGATTTTGGGATATGAGCATCCCAAGGATGAGGCATTACACATACCTGAGATTCGGGTAGATTGGGGTCCTTCGAGGAGGTGGTACGGACTTACTCTGCCAGGTTCGGGCACAGAGTTGACAAGTATTTCCGCGGGGGATGGTCAGCGAGGGGGAGTTGCAGCGTCTGACTCTCTCGTTATAGTCGATGGTGTTGGTTGCAGCCGACGTCTGGTGAACTCCGGTATTGAGATGTGACATCAATACTAGAGCGAGGTGACACGTTTAGTATCGAGAGGTGACATCGATGCTAGGGTGGGTTGATGTGTTCGGGCGCAGAAAAATATAATTATGTCGGATCCGGGTGATTGTGGAGTAGATGGATTCCGAGGAGAGAGGTGGTTGTGCTATGCACATGGGGAGAATATTACCTACGCATGGGGCGCGTAGAGACGCATTGACGGACTCTTTTCTGCGACTTGTCGTACGGACATGATTGTGCTTGCTTATATGATTCTTGTGATTCCATGTTTCAATTCCTGTCTATTAGATTATTAACATATATATATATTATTGCTTTCCCTGATTCCATGATAATAGAATTTTGAATTATGCCCGAGTTCACTCTCTAAGCAATTAGCTTAGGACGTTGTTACGCAACGTTTCAGGTCGGGAGCAGTAGTAGCCGCGGAGCGGACTTGGAGACTTGGGCAATCTGTTTCGCTGATCATGTATACTTACATATTTATGATACGCTTATGCTTTTGGGAAAATGGTTTTATATTATATCGGTGGTAGACTTTCACGATTTGTAATAATGATATCGCTATCACTCATTATGTATAATTATCTCTGAAATAATGTATTATATATATATGTATGAATGTTTTTCTTCTGCTGAACTCTGAAAAGAAAAAGTTTTAAATTCCCGCGGATTTTTTGGATTATGTTTTTATTTTAGTTGTCCATGTGACGCAACTCGTATTGCGGAATACAGATTACTGGTGTCACACCTAAATTTTTCACATTGTGATAAAATTACACAATTCTGATATAGAAACACTCTCTGTCTTTATAATTGTATAAACTGGTTCTTCGATGTTCAATTATTCATCGATGTTGTCTTTAAACCTGCGGTAAAATATTACGATATATTTTTATAAAATATCGATAACCCGCAGATATATAATAATTTATGAGCTAAATATACTTGCATAGTCTTCATTGTAAAAGAAAAATCTAGAAGTTGATGTTGTGTTGAGATATATTTATAGAATTTTAATTTGTTTAATGAAGAGCAATATAAAAAAAATATAAGTTTAACTTCAATTACATCAAATTATCAAAATTAAAGTTAAATGCATAATTACAACAACCAAAATATAAGTTCAAAATTAAAAAAAAAAATATGAAGAAAAATAATTTTTAATTTTATATGCATAACCTAATCTCTTATGAAATCTATTTTTTATGTGTAAAATAATTAACGGTAGACCAATGAATTTATATATAGCTAATGAAAATTTTAATTGATAATGAAGATCGAGAAACTTGTCACTACAATGATGATGATGTGTTATCACCAGAAGTATTAAAACCAAACTTTATATATATATATATAGGGACAATAGCAAAAACAAATATGAACTTTGTGTATTTGGCAAATAAATATACAAACTTTCATTTTGGTAATAAAATACACAAACTTTTATATTTTTAGCGCAAACCTCCACAAATAGTAACGACGTAAAAAAAAATAACAGAACCATCAATAAGTCATGTACAGTTGTATATAAATATCATATCATTTATTTAATAAAACCATGTCATTAATTATGTTTTGTGAATTTATTATTAATTTTGTTTAGTGACTTTGTTTTTTTTATGTTCAAAACATAATATATATAATTAGTGAATTTATTATAAACCTTGTTTAGTGATTTTGTTTTTTGATGTTCAAAACATAATATATTTGCATTTCAAGGGTTTCATTTTCCATATATATTATGTTTTGAACATAAAAAACAAAATCACTAAATAACGTTAATAATAAATTTATTACATATAATTAATGATATAGTTTCATTAAACAAATGATATAATATTTATATATAACTGTAAATGACGTATTGATAGTTTCGTTATTTTTTGATGTTATTACTGTTTGTGGAGGTTTACGCTAAAAATATAAAAGTTGGTGTATTTTATTACCAAAATGAAAGTTTGTGTATTTATTTGCCAAATACACAAACTTCATATTTGTTTTTGCTATTGGCCCTATATATATATATATATATATTTGATTTCTATTAGGATTTGTTTTAGGTCGGATTCGATTTGAATCGATTTATATTCACTTTAATTCAAATCGACTTGTTACAATTCATATTCAATTTTGATAGATTTAGATTTGTTACGGTTCGGATTCAATTTGTTCCGATTTGAATCAATTTGTTATGGTTGGTATTCGATTTCGATTAATTCTGATTTGATTCGTTTCTATTCGAATTTTATATGAATCGATTTATTCCGATTCAGATAAATTTGTTCTAATTCAATTTCGTTTCAAATCAATTCACATTCGAATCGTTTCTATTTAGATCGATTCGTTTTTATTCGGATCGATCCATTTTTATTCAAATTCGAATTATTTCGATTCAAATTTAATTTTTTAATAAAATTCTTATACAATATTATATCGAATTCAGTTATGTATTCGATTATAATTTTATTAATCTAATTATAATAGTTATTAAATTAAGATTTATATTCATGTTAGATTAAATAGATTTATTGGGTTATCCATTTAACCCATAATAATTTTAATAGATTAAATCTATTAACTTATTTAATTAATATAATCCAAATCGATAATCCAAATTAAATTATTATTAGATTAGGATACATTTAGTTTTATAGTTTTAAAAGGGAGCTATATCATAGGTCCTTCTTTACTGATGTGGGCCATAAGGATATACTAATAGGCCCATCAAGAAGATATTATTTATAATCAATTGGGCTTTAGTATCACGGCACCAATGGCCCATCTAGAACACGTCAATCATCCCTCAGCACTATCCGAACCTTCTGAATCTCCCAGAGGCATTTCACGACGCCGAATCTGATTGATTCACGGACGAGATCTCCGACCAGAGAGAGAGAGAGAGAGAGAGAGAGAGAGAGAGAGAGAGAGAGAGAGAGAGAGAACCTGAGCTTCGTCGAGGTCAGCCGGGGAAATCGATTTTTGTTTTTTCAGAAGGAACAACGAAGATGATGATCTCTCAGTTCTTCGTCTTGTCTCAGCGAGGCGACAACATCGTCTTCCGCGACTGTATGTTCCGATCTCATCTGCTCTCTGTGTCGGAGAATTCTTCGCCGTTTTTACCAAATTCTGTCAGATCTCCACTGTTTTCTTGTGTTCATGCGAAATGCTTTTCGAACTCATTGATCTGTGTGATCTATCAATTTTGTCGCGTTCTGATTCTTCGGTTCTCAGTTGTTTTACTGAAAATGTGATGCCTATTGTTAATCCCGTCGATTTTTAAATCAGGTGATCCACAGGTTTTAGCTCTAGAATAAGCTGTAGGCATCAAAATTTTCGGCATCGCGTTGTCCGTTTAGAGATCTGAATTCTTCATTCTTATTCCAAAGAAGTCGATCTTTTCTTTTAAATTGGTAAAATGCTGTGGAAATGCGTCTTGTTGAGTAAATTTCTTTTCGATGGAGCATGGAATTTGATTGGATCCGCACGCGTTTTTCTATTCTTATTGCCTTTAGTCTATTGCTTAATTTGTCGCTGCAGATCGTGCTGAGGTGCCGAAAGGAAGCACGGAGACATTCTTCCGTAAAGTTAAGTTCTGGACAGAAGACGGGAAAGAGGAGGCACCCCCTATCTTTGTAGGTATTATCTTGCTAATAGTGTCGTCGGTATCGCTCTTCCTTGGTAAATAGGATGATATGTGCTTGATACACCACAAGCCATTGCCGTTTTTTGTTCGTTCATATTCTACCTATTGTAAGTAGAGTAAAGTAGTCCTTTACGTGCATCTTGCTAGTTATGCTTTATGAATTCTTTTGTGTTGATCAGTTTTCCCAATTGGGTCGGAGATCTGACGATTGTTATGTGAATGTTTTTCTGCTTATAGAATGTGGATGGCGTGAACTACTTCCACGTGAAGGTTGTTGGACTGTTTTTTGTAGCTACAACAAGGGTGAATGTCTCGCCATCTCTTGTTTTGGAGCTTCTACAAAGGATTGCCCGTGTTATTAAGGATTACCTTGGTGTCCTGAACGAAGATTCATTTAGAAAAAATTTTGTGCTGGTTTATGAGTTGCTCGACGAAGTAATCGTAAGTTCACGTTGCTTTTAGTTCTAGTTATATGCAAATACAGTCCTGATAGTGTGAGATTCTTTTATCAATATGACTTCTCTGTTCCTTACTTAGGATTTTGGCTATGTGCAAACAACATCTACCGAAGTTCTGAAATCCTATGTATTTAATGAGCCGATTGTAGTTGCTCCTGCACGCCTTCAACCAATTGATCCTGCTGCCATCTTCACGGTATTTAATGTTGTCATCAACTGTTTGCATTGCATGCCCTCGATCTTTGCAGTCTATCTGACTGATTCGTTGATCTGATGTTATGCAGCAGGGAGCCAAAAGAATGCCTGGGACAGCTGTTACTAAATCTGTTGTAGCTAATGAGCCTGGGGGCAGGAGGCGAGAGGAAATTTTTGTGGACATCATCGAGAAAATCAGTGTTACTTTCAGTTCTAGCGTGAGTAATGAAATCTTTGGTAGTTTAACGACAAGTGTCATATCAAATAAATCATCTGTGTTTGGTTATCTACATCTTTGAAATTGAAATACGCCCATCACCTCCAAAATTGCAACAGTCCCATCACCTCCAAAATTATGTGCTTATAGCATTATATTTTGCATCCTGGAAAATTCTCCATAGGTTTTACCAAATAATGCGTTTTATATTGTCTCATCATCTTTTGTTGTGGTTTCTGCATAGGGCTATATATTGACTTCTGAGATAGATGGCACCATTCAAATGAAGAGCTACCTTTCTGGAAATCCAGAAATTCGTTTAGCTCTCAATGAAGATCTAAGCATAGGAAGGGGAGGAAGATCGATATATGGTACTGCTTGTTTCACTCTCTGACATCTAAATTCATACCTACAGAATTTATTTCTTATATCTTGTTACACCATCTGCAATCTGTCTTTGTATTCTAGACATTTATGCAATAACTGTACAGTGAACTGAGGCAAACAGGATTTTGTTATCTTGTTATTTACGTATAAGCTGTGTTGTAATCTATTTTTCCGTGTTCTGTCTGAAGCTACTCTTTTAGCACTTTTTTCTTCTGCCTTTTCCATGCATTGGCACGAGATGCATATACTCAAACATGAATTTTGTCTAGCAGATTATGGTATAACCCCGTAGAATCCCCGTGATCAACTGTCTAATTTTATGTTCTGTGTTACAGATTATCGGAGTTCATCTGGTGCAGGAGCTGTGATACTTGATGATTGCAACTTTCACGAATCTGTTCGGCTTGATAGCTTTGATATGGATAGAACTTTGTCCCTGGTGAGTTCAAAAATATTAATCCGACTTGGGAATCAGTTTATCGTTTAAACCATCTTGTCATTACCTTTTGTTGTTTGCTTTTGTTATTTATCTGTTTGCAGGTTCCACCAGATGGTGAATTCCCAGTCATGAATTACCGTATGACCCAGGAGTTCAAAGCTCCTTTTCATGTGAATACCCTGATCGAAGAAGCAGGACGCCTGAAGGTGCAATTTCATATCTTGACATTGTGTTCTGAATCATATAGATTTTATTTTAAGCATTTTGTTGTTCTATATATTCTTCAGATCTTTATCCCAGTGAAAGTTTTACTTGATTTGTTGTCCTAATAATTTAGGCCGAAGTGATTATCAAAATACGTGCCGAGTTTCCTTCAGACGTAGTTGCAAATACAATTACTGTGCAGATGCCGTTGCCAAAATACACTTCCAGGTACAAAAGTCTTCAGATGTTTTCACTAGAGAGAGAATGCTATTGTTGGTGTCCTGTGACACCTTCTCTTAAAATTGCTTAAGCATGAGTTTCAGTTAACTCCTACACTTTTTGGCACGTCGCAAAATCATTGGTGAGAGCATTGTCGAATGCAGAAATTAGTGATAAAATGTGAACATATGTGATCTGATTATCGTTAAGGAAGAGCTTTTAACAGAAATCTTATGAAAGAACACAATACAGTTGTGTAGACATGTACTAATGAGGGATACAAAGAGAAGAAAGCTTCTGTGATTAGTAATCTGTTTTTTTTTCTAATGTATTGTTCGATTGTGTGGCAGGGCTAGTTTCGAGGTAGAAACAGGCGCTGCTGGGCAGAGGACGGATTTCAAGGAATCCAGTAAGATGCTTGAATGGAATTTGAAAAAGGCAAGGGTTTATTATACAACTCTTTAGTTATTACGGTGTTGATTAACGGTGGTTTTACGGATTTTTCGCGAGTTTTTCTGATCCAGTTTATGAACTATTACACCTCTGAGTGCTACTAACTAAACAAAGACAATTGATACAGATCGTTGGTGGGGCAGAACACACATTGCGTGCAAAGCTGACATTTGCACAGGAATCACATGGTATTTCTAAGTTTCTTTTATGCAAATAAAAAGGAAGACGGAAAAAAAACTCGTTTCTGTCATTTGTTTCGATTTCATTCTGCTGCATTTTTTTTTCCGCAGGTAATATCACAAAGGAAGCCGGGCCTGTAAGCATGACATTCACGATACCAATGTACAATGTTTCCAGACTTCAGGTAACCAAATCTCTCTTCCATGGACCTTGTAACCGGACCTCTTTGATGTGCATACTTTTTTTTTTCATGCGGAGCCTATCTTTCATGCCTTAAATGCCCGGGTCTTACTGTGTAGAATGGTTTTGATAAAGCTTAATCACTGTCTTCAAACCTCCCCCAGATGCTTTGATAACACCGAGGTAATTGCTATGAAAACTTGAAAACCCGAAAAATGTCGGTCTTGTAGGTAAAATACTTGCAGATAGCGAAGAAATCGAGCACTTACAATCCGTATCGCTGGGTCAGATATGTCACTCAGGCCAATTCCTACGTGGCCCGGATATGATCGATCATATGTCCAAAAGGCTCCTAAAGATGGTAATCCTTCCATGACTGTAAGCTACACTTTCGCCTTTTTTTTCGCTCTGCTCGGTGTTTACATCCTCAGACTAAGGTGAAAAAAATTTCCGGTACAAATATGTTCATCGGATAAAAGTATAAATACTTGTTGTGCTTTTTAGGTCTTTCTAGCAAATATGCTTTCTGGGTTTATCTGAATAAAATCATGTGCATGTTTTGTTTGGGTTTTTATCAAAAATACTCCTATTATACTATAAAAACTTCGGTGCATACCCCTGCAAAAAAAAAACGGTTTCAAAACATACCTTTATAATTATGTTATTTCCATAATATCCATTGGGGGCATTATCCAAAATACTCTCATTTTGCTAAACCTATTTCTGCATATACGCTCCTCCAGATGTGACCATGTGACCAAAATAACTGTATGGTCACATTGGTCACAATGTAAAATTTTTAATGATTTCACCAAATGATTAGTGTGATACGTAAGGTGTGATCATGGTGATTTGGTGTGATCACCATAAATTTAACGTTATGACCAATGTGGTCATCATGTGACCATACAGTTATTTTGGTCACATTTGGATGAAGTATGTGCAAAAGTAGGTTTAGCAAAAAGAGGGCATTTTGGATATTTTGCCTATCCCATTGACATGAGTCCCAATGGCAGAAACAATAACGAGAAGAGAGAGAAAAACAGTTTTCGGTTTTCTAGGAAAAAATTTAAATATTTTTAAAATTTTAAAATTCCCCCCATCACAAAAAAATAAATTTTTCCGTGTGAATTTTAAAAATTTTCGGTGTGACTCGAATTGTAGTGTGACCAACTGAACAAAGTTTAATATTAAATTGTATGAGTGATCAATATGACTCGTGTGACCAGTGTTATCAATATGATCAGAGTTTAAATCTTGAACGGTGTGACCAGTGTGACCAATATGATTAGTGTGACCAAAACTAAATTTTGAACGGTGTGATCAGTGTGACCTGTGTGACTAGTATGACCAGTGTGACTAGTGCGACCAAAATGAAATTTTGAACGGTGTGACCAGTGTACCTTGTGTGACCAATGTGACTAGTGTGTCCAAAATTAAATTTTGAACGATGTGATTAGTGTGACATATGTGAACAATGTGACTAATGTGACCAAAATTAAATTTTAAACGGTGTGACCAATGTGGCGTACCTTTGTTTCGTTGTCAATATGTTCCATTCCAGCTCCGAACATTTATTTGAAATTAGATATGCGTCTCTTGCATATGCTTACACAGATTTGCTTTGCATCTGTCTCATTTTCATCAAAGACCACATGATTCACTTTAAAATCATAAAACTCAAACTCAAAGGCATAAAGTTTATGCATCGAACCAATCTCTTGTATTAATGAACTTACCTTCATTTTTTGTCATTTGTTCTGTCTTCGGCCGATTCACGAAGAAGATATGAGGTCATCGGTGAAGATATGTTTAATGAAAAAATCATTTTTCGTTTGTTTTTCTATGTATAGAAATGAAATAAGGGGAGAGATAAATGGAAGAGTTGAGAGAAAGATAGGAGTGGAGAGAGAAAGTTAAGAAAGAAACGGGGAGTAAGTGGGGAGAATAAAATAATATTTTGATATTGTTTTATGGTGTGTCACGTTGCTTTTCTGAGAGGGTTAATTATGTCTTTTATTCCTTTTGACTTTTTTTTAAAACCTAAAAGTTTTGAAGGGTAGTGCTTGAAGTCTTTGTAGTAAATGTACTTTTGCTATTTTGCCGTTTTGTTTGCTGTTTATTAGGCAAATAGAATTTTGGTTCGATTATTTTCGGTTCAGGGAAGAGTTTCGCTGAATATAAATCGAAACTGAAATTTGTTTAATGTTTTGAAGTTTGGTTCGGTTTATGAAATTGAGTTTCCTATTCATTCGAAATGTGTTCCGATTTCGACTTAGATATTCTATAGTTATTTTAGTTATTTAGATTCGGTTAATTCTGTAGTGATATTATTACATTCGTCGGCGCGGTTCTCTTTCCGGACCAAGAGTCCGAGAATTGTTCGTTTAAAAAACATAAGCTTAGAGTTTAGATTACTTTGGGAAAGATATTGAATTTTATTTCAACTTTCTAAAAATACTCTGAAGCTATCTCGACTTTCATATTAAATATGAACTACCAATTCTTTTTGTTAATTTTTAGGGAAAATTTTATGAAAGTATTCCAACTTTTGAAATATGTGCCGAAAAAATTATCTTTTAGTTTGACAAATAAAAACATCAAATATTTAAATGTATAAAAAAAATCTCGATTTTTTACACGATTTTTAATTACATAGTCGATAATTTTATTCAAATTATTTGAAATTGTTTCCTACATAATTTCATATTCTTAACTGCATTATCCATATATATGAAATTGTTTTTAAGTTTAAGAAGTGATGCATTTTTTTTAACATTTTAATATATTTATTTTTAAAATTAAAAATTTATATATTTTTTTGGGTATATTTTTATACAATTCGAACATTTTTATCAGATTTTTCTTAACTTTTAAAGAACATTTAACGGCGTTAATTGGTTACAAAAACCGTCTCCAATGTCACTTGGCAAATCGGAATTAAGCACATGTGATTGTGTACATCTTTGTATATATGTATATGTGTTCGTAAATTTTTTATTGCACGCGACAATGTAGGATAACGTGGCAATCTAATAATATTTCTTATTTACCATTGTTTTTTTATGAATTTATTTACCATTGAAGACGTCGTCGACTGTTTCAATCAAGCGATTGACGTTGTTAATGAATTTCATATAAATTTACAGGACGTTCAAAGTTCAATATTTTCTGACAAGTTTTATAATGTTGAATATTTTGTCATCGAGTTCATATATATAAAAAAGAACGACTTTCGTCGAAACAATGTTATTCATAATTGTTTTAGGAAAATCCGGATAAAACACCGAATTTCGTAAAAATTGCTAGAAGAAATATGTACACATATATGTGTATCTATGTGTATATTTATATGTATATAGTATCTATGTATGGTCGACCCAATTTGAAATGAATGGTGCACATGCCCCATTTGTTTAGTTAAAATTTTATTTTTTATAAAATTTATAAGATTTTAAATAAAATTATTAAATGTTCCGATGATAAAATCATATTTATCCCATAGTAAAATTAAATCTGTCCTCGATATAATTTTTTTTTATCTGCTACGGTGTATATATATGTGTGTGTGTGTGTGAAAGTCTCATAATAAAATCCTAACAAGTCTGGAAAATTAATATTTGAAGATAGAGAATCCAAGTGAAAGATACCAAAGGTGATGACATAAGAGATCCCCCCATTACCCCTAAAATGGAAAATAAATCAAACAAAAATGATATGTCCGTTTTCAATCACTTTGGTCGGCCCTTATCTTATCATTCGAATCTAGTTAATTGATCTCATAATAAAAGATATCCGAATACCCCATTGCAGACAAATAAAAACGGTTACATAATTATATGACAATAGTTATATTTACAAATTTATTTTACCAATTCATAGGAAACATCTTATAATTTCTAAGGTTTTATCTATTTTATATTTAAACTATTAGGGTTTATCTATACTGATATAATATATGTACATATATAATAGAATGGTTATTAAATTAGTTATCATTACAGTAAGATTAAGATGTATATTGGAGTAATTTTGAAACTCGTTTTCTTATTTTACACACATCACACACATATTATATATATATATATATATATATGATCAAACTATTTTACTAAGGAGATTTATATCTACTTTCTTTGCAGTTACTGCGAATTTCATAGGATGGGCATTTAGTTATTAACCAAATCGAATTGCATACGTGTATTTTGGTTCCATTCGGTTAATTCTAAAATAAATTATTGCTTATAAATTTTTAAAATTTAAAATTGAATCTGAACTGAACCTAACCATTTAAAATTAAATAATTGTATGATTATTAATTCTCAAAATATGAAATAACTGAATCTAAACCGAAGTATTTAATGTATTTCTAATTTAAATTAAATGAAAGATATATTAACAATGATACTGGATATATATATATATAATGGATATATATATATATATGTACACGCATATACATACATACATACATGTATGCATATATATATATATATACTTACGTAAGTAGAAAAAAATTATATTACCTAAATTATATGTTAACTAATGTTAGGAGAACTATGTTACTGATTAATATAAATACCCAGCTTAATCATTGCACTTCGACTATCCCTTACGATTATAGCCGCGTTCAAGTTTTGTGGCGAGGATAATGTTTTCCAACATTAGTCTACCCTGTACAAATGCTACTTAGTGTCCAGAGATGATCGTCTATAGGATGCCCTTTAATCTCTGAGCAAGGATGGTTGATATAATCTTATACATTACGATGCAGCAGCTTATCGGCCGAAATTCCGATAAGCAGTCTGCCCCCGACTTTTTTGGGACCAGCGAGATGATGATGGCGTTGACATGACCAATCATACGGCTAGAAATGAAGAAGTCTTGTATTGCCTCCACTAAGTTATTGCCAATGATGTCCCAAGCTCCCATATAGAAATCTTTTGGAAACCGTCAGGCCCAGGTGTCTTATTATGTGACATCGAAGCTAACGTCCCTTTAATGTCCTCAGGCGTTGGAATTCGAGTTAGTGCATAGCAGATGTCTGCACTACACTCGAACTGAAGCAGGTCCCATAGCTAGTCAACCAAGGGGGAGCATTCTCGGATGATTTGATTATTCGCAGTACGACCTTTCAGATCCGGCTCTGATTCAATCTTGTTCCCTTGTTCATCCATCAGATAGTGGATCTGATTCTTCGCAGTACGACCTTTCACTAAGCGGTGAAAAAACTTAGTGTTCCTGTCCCCCAACCGTAACCGGTTCACTTGGGATTTTTGCTTATAAAAGCTCTCTTCTGCGGCAACAAGGGTGAGCCACTGCTTTCTAAGGGATTGCTCCTATAGGACAAGGTCAGATGTAGGAGATACCAGCAGCTGATTCTGAACCAGAGAGAGTTTCTCTGATGCTTCATTAACCCTCTTAGGTAAGTCACCAAACCGTTGGGTGTTAAGGGTTCGCAAAGGCTGTTTTAGCGCCTTAAGACACTTGCAGAAAATAAACTGAGAAGTGTATTCTATATTCTCCAGCTTCAAACTATTAGCAATGACCTGAGGAAATTCAGGT